ACACACACACACACACACACACACACACACACACACACACACACACACACACACACACACAAAAAAAACAACAACAACATGAAGTCATGTTTTAATTCTGACAGCAATGCATTCAATTATTCAATTCTAAGCCAAGTCTTTCATACTGTAGATTCTTTGGCTTCTTTGTATGTCAGCACTTTTTGGAGTTAGTGAAATATATTTATTTTAAATATATGCTCAAAATTTGTTTTTATGTTTCCTTCCTTACTGCCATTATGAATAGGTCAAAAGGCCAGGGCAATGCTGTGGTTGTGCAACTTTCGCCTGACGGTTAGCACCACCACATCACCTATACACATGACAACACCTAGAACAATGAAGGACTTGGAGCTGTGTGTCGTGGGTCTTTGGTTTGGAGTGGTTTCTGCTGGTGAACTAATTAAACTGAGTTATCTATACATCCAAACATTTTTTGTATGTCTTTGGTGTGGTCTGTAGTTTGAAAACTGAAGCATTTTTTGACATATGTGACCCATCACATCGAAATGAGGATTAAGTCAAATTTGGTCAAAATGACCTAATCAGTGTGCATTGCCAATGCATTGCACACTATTGTGATTCGTTTCCCATCCAAGTCATCTCCACTTTGGCATGCTTCTCCTCCTACATACTTTGTCCTAGAGCTGCCATTGTAATTTCTATCTGTAAAGCTCTTGTACCAAATGATGGCTATGCCTTTTGGTGCCTGTACAACTTATAATTTTTTGAAATATTAATGTTTAATAATTTATAATGAGAGTCAATAGACGCTTGTATTGGTCCAATACTGCCCCCTGCTGTATCTACTCAGTACTGAACCATAGTTTAATAATATTTAATCTGAATAGTTCAGTGGTTACAATACTAATATGACTGTATTTTGATGTTTTACTATAATGTTGTCTTAATACTGCTCTATTGTTGTTCTATTATGCAGTTTAGTGTCAATAATTGTATTGGCTATGTGGCCCCTTTCTGCACACATACAAACCAACCCCTGGCACTACTGTCAGCCACAGCTCCAATGGTCAAATGGTCTGTGCCATGGACTTTCAGGTGGGAGATCAGGGTTCAAAACACAGTTAAAGCAACTTAAACAGAAAATCTCTACAAACTTCATATTGTCACACAATACCCTTATTACATACACCTGCTGACTTGACAAGCACAAGCTAGTGTAGAAAACACATTTGTACTTGGTCACAGTTCATTCTGCAAGTCCACTGCTGCAGGCAAAGCTATGGTGCATGGCAATGCACACTTGTTTTTACATTGTAAAAACCCATGTCTAGTAATATTTTCAGATTCCTGCTTTAAAAGCTACATTTTGATACTTAGATCATCCTGATATCATTAGTAGATCCAGAGATATTTTTTCATTTGTCTTGTTGGTTACAATAATACATAAATATTTGGTCTAAATCCTAATTGTGTGAATGCTTCTTATAGCATTCACACTATTGAGATAATTTTTTCTTCCGTTATGATTTATTGGCATCTAACTCATTCCACAATTTTTGTGTTATTTCAACAATTCATATATCAAAACATTCAACTCATTTATGACAATCCTGCTATGACTTTTGTTACTTCAGCTATTTTGACTTTTTCAGCTATTTCACTTTTTGTTRCCACTTTTTTGCCATTGAAAATGAATGGAGCTGTTTTCAACACCCTTAAAATCCTTTAAAATGTTTCTAAATCTTTACAGACCCTTACACCTTTTGGTCTAGTACTGCTCTTTTTAACTTCCCTGTCTTAATTTTTTTGCTACTTATTTGCTAATTTTAGCTATTTTCTGCTATTTCAGCTAAAATTCAGCTTTTTTCTGCCATTATTCTGCTTTTTCTACTTTTTTGTGCTTTTTTCCCGCTAATTTATGCTAATTCTGCTCCTTACAGGTGCATTCTGCTATTTGCATTTATTTGCTGCAACTATAGCTAATTTTTAGCTGTTATAGCTAAAGTTAGCTTTTTTAAATTAAATACACAGTTTTTGTAGCTAATAAAACTTTTTTCAGCTAAGTTCTGCAACCTTAAGCTCATTATGCTTCATTATGCTAATTAAAGAATTTCCAGCTACTTTTGAACTATTTTACTTAAAACTTTGGCAGTTTTAGTTATTTCACTACAAACTGACACMTTTTTGTACATTTACACATTTTTTCTGCCAATTGTACTTTTTTTCTACTGTTTGGGTGCTAATTACAACTTGTGGCTGCTACATTTAGCTTATTTTATGCTAATTTTAGCTTTAACCATAGATCTTCTTCTTTTTGCTATTCTTTTGCCTTTTTCTACTATTTGAGCTTTTTTCTGCGAGCTTTTGGTATTTATGCATCTTACAGATGTTTTCTGCATTTTTTAGCTATTTTAGCTGTTTTCTGCTTTTTCAACTACATTTTTTGCTTCTTTTTCCTTTTATCTGCAAAGTTAGGCTTTTTTTTCTTCTTTCAGCTATGAAAATTTGAACTTGCAATAACGCTTTTGCTATTAAAAAATTTCAGCTCGATTTCAGCAAGAAGCATTCACACTAGCATTTTCGCAGGAAATGCAATTTCTCTAGTTTTATGTAAACTTAATGAGGATTTTTTTATGTCATTTGAAAAACGAAACCTCAAATAGTATTTGAACATTGAATTTTACCAGCAGGAAAGAAACAAAAGCTTTGATAGCTCACAGGGAAAATCTCAACATTTTAAGGCGTTTTTCCTCAAAATCGAGATTTTTTGTTTGCTAATGCTCAAAAAAGTGCTTCAAAAATTTTTAGTATAGTTTTTCAGGCAGTTCATTCGAAAGATATTGATAACACATTTCTTTGTTATATTTTGATAAAATGTAATTTTTGCAAGCGTTTTAATCAAAACACTGTATCTGCCTGTTTCTCCACATTCAGCTTTTAGACTTAATCCTCGTTTCAATATGATGGGTCACATATAGCAACTATAATGAGAAAATATCTTGTATAAAATTAATCTAACCTGAGATGAGAACTGCATGGTCACAGGTCTGGTAGAGACGACAGGAAAGATGAGTGGCCACCGTCTGCGGGTGGCAGCGTCGGGTGTTTTTATTCAGCTCACAGCTGGAGATGGGCAGACTGGGCGAGCTGATGGGCAGCAGCTGAGGACACCTRGCAAACTCTGCATGCTCTGCCAGAGGAGGAAACACACAGTTGATGCTAATGGAAGTAGAGTATCCTGGCATAAAGTCAGATTTGACTGCATGTGCAGGTTTTTCACATTAACATAAGTATTATGCTCCTCATCTGCAGGTCAGATTTAGGTTTATGGTTTGTTCTGGGCATTTTCGCCCATTTTCATGTGAACATTAAAAAAGACCAATGAAGAAAGTCTGAGTTTAAGTAACATCAGAACTAGTGGTGTACCAATACCATCAGTATCGGGCCCAAAACCAGCATTGTTACAAGTACTCGTACGCGTACAGAAAACCCTGATACTGAGAACCCAGTACAAATACCAGTACTGATACTGGTATTAATACTCCACTCCACATTAATACTCCAAAATAAACTACAAAAATAATTTGATAAAGTGCAAATTAAATTATAGTTGTATCTGCAACTGCATTTGATGTTTTGAACTTTTAAAATACTGCATGATAGAACCAGAAGCTACACTTCATATTAGTGATAAACTTTGGCCTTTTTTGATGGGTTGCCTTCATTTTTGCTTCTACTTTTCATTTAAAATAAGTTTCCATTCTCGGCAGGGTTCTAAGGTTTTTCTTCTACATATTAAAAAAGTTGTTAAAACATCTGAGTGGCGCACTACCGCTACTAGTGGCGAGAAAGTGTATTGCACCTTACAAAATCAATGCAGTCCCGCGGCCCTCTGCGGCCCAAAGTTAAAAACTGTTGTACCTTTGAGGCCCTCAAGGTGGCGTGCCCATAGGTTAAGAATCTCTGCTTTACAGTATACCCCTCTGTTTGAGTTCCTATTTTCTCTTGCCTGTACCAGACCAACCAATACATGTTTTTGGTTTTGCTTTTTTTTAACCTACCAACACATCTGAGTCTCTGTGTGCGGCTGCTGTCTCCATCCGACACCACCAATGGCAGGAAGTGGACCTCACAGAAGCCTCTGATGGCTTGATTTAGCAGATGGCTGCCACCAACGCCTCCACGCAGTATCCCACTTGTCAGCCGGTTGTTATTAAAAAGCCTCTCTGGGCTTGTTTGGTGACGCTTCAGTTGGTTCTGACAGCGACCCTTCAAGGCCAGCGTCAAACACTCCTCACCTGAGAAACAAAAACAGCACCGGATCAAACTCAAAAGTTTATCTGTGTGTTTTTAAACCGATATTTAAACATCCAGATGAGTGATCACGATCTTCTGCATGCAGTTCTAATAAGATTAGTCTGTAAGCACTAGCAAGACATGTTTTGAACCAAAGGGTGGAGTTTAATGAAACTTGCAGATATCTTGTTTTTGGTGTCAACTTTATTCAAGGTGAGGGCTGTGGCAGTCAACTTCATGAGTCATTTTGACCTTAGTGCAGCAGGACAGTTAAGAGCRAACCTGAAACAAGCGGGACTGTGAGGAGATGAACAAGGAAGGCTTATAAAGCCCTTTAGGCCAGCTTAGAAGTAACTGACTGACAGGCACTCTGTGAGCCACACTGTAACAACTGATGGTCTAATAAAGATAATAAATATCTTATTTACAAGTGAACAATGCTATAGATGTTATATAATTGAATGGGAAAACATTACATGTGAACACAGCAAAGCTGTGATTAAAATTGCTGTTAAGACAAGAAAAAAACTTTGACGCCATTTTACATTTCACGTCATGTCACTATCTGGTACTGTTATCTTTGTATTTCAATGTCATGCACATCTGCTTAAAAACTTTGGTCTTCACTATGAAAATAGTTGCATTCAAAATGGCAAGTACACATCCATTTGTATGGACCCACACTATTTGTAGAATGTGTGAAATCCATTTCTGCTGACCCAAGACATGGTGGAGCATTTATATGTTCCTAAAGACTGTTAGAAGCAACAATTTAAGGAAAGTAGTCCGTTGAGGAAGAAAGCGTGGGGGAGGTGATGGCTCTGGCTCTGAAGGAAAGTTGTAGGATCATCTACAAGGGCAGTACGGAGACATCCCTCCTGCTGCTTCAACATCTTTCTGATATTAGAGATTGATTACCAACTGATTACCCTTTAGCTGGCAAATATGGCACTGACAGACCTGCATCTGTGTATTACCATCACTGGTCTTAGTGTTGATAAAGACCATGAAATTATTTTCCTCCTCTAAAATTTGAAATAGCTTATATGCCACGGTCATTAATGACATATTTCCAGTAAAATTCTTGCCACGTTCCTCCCTTCCACTTCCTGTTTACTGCCWATGTTTTTAGCGTTAGCTACTAGTACTAGTCCGTGAAAAAGTCATAAAAGTTAAAGCATCTGTGATCTACTGGCATAAAACATGAGTTCTGTTGTGTGTCGTTGTGTCACTAACCAGCAGGTACGATCGAGTTGTTGGTTTTTATCCATTTTCCTCTTGATGAGGAGGTGACAGCAGTGGATCATAGCATTACAGGGAAAACTTATCTTTAAAAGCTCACGCTTGTGTTTGTAATCAACATTTCTAACCTGAGGATATTCAAGAGTCAACATCAGAAATGAGAAAACGGAGGTTACAAAAGGGAAATGTACATTTATCCCCTTTTACTGCCAAGATAAGAGGAAAGACCTCCTCCACACGACAGCTAGCAGGAAGCTAACACAGCAGCTGGTGCAAAGGTAGGTGTGTGTGTGTGCGCGTTTGTGTTATATGAAATGTTTTTATGTGACTTTGTCATGAGTTTTATGCAAAAGTAAAACCTTGTTAGAGTGTGTATTACAGCTTAGACTAAATCCGAGTGACGACCCCCCCCCCGAGCACCGAGAGCAGCAGAACCTCGGCCTGATAATCATTACGTTTTCAGTTCAGTAATGTCGGGGAAAACGATTCAAACCAAAAAGGTAGCCCATCAATTTAAAGCCCAGACTCTGCTCTTTCCAACAATATAAGTGTCACAGCTCTACGTGAAAAATTCACNACATGTAATATGCTAATTCTGTACTGTGGAGATCATTAAGAGTCGTTGTCAGGTGAAAAAATCTTTCGCTAACACTGTGTTGACCGTGAACCGGAAGTGTTGGGAGTGGCATCAAGTGCTGGACCGGATGTCCGTGACATATAGGCTCTATTGAATTAATTTGACTGCTGTTTGTAAGATGAGAAATATAAACACCACTATCAGTTTTATGTTAACATTTAGTTATACAATCTTGTTTTGCCATGAAAATTATTTTTCATAGTCTTGAAATGTTTATATACAGTAAATGTTAAACACAGTACAACAAAGACAAAGCAACAGGTAAAATACTGACTACACTGCAAAAAATGTCCACCTAACCAAGTTTTAAAATCTTATATCAGCCAAAAAGTATTTTTGATCTTGTTTTGAGACTGATTTACTAAACAAGAACTGATTGTGTAAGAATAATCATCTTGTTTTCAGAATATGTAAGATTATTTGTCTTGTTAGTCTGAAAATTTGACTCAAATTCAGTCAAAATTTTCCGCCAATGTAGTAAATCTGTCTCAAAACAAGATCAAAAAGACTTTTTGGCTGATATAAGATTTTAAAACTTGGTAAGATGGACAGTGTTTGCAGTAAATACTCACCCAGATAAATGCCATCCTGGTGGGAGCATCTCTTTTTTGTTACATTCAAATCCACATAAAAAAGGAACACAGGGTGTCCAAAGTTCTCTCCTGGGCTGGGATCAAGCACCAGTACAGCATCATGAGCCATGGAGCCATGTAGGGGCTGCTGGTCTCTGAGGGGACCACTGCCTCTGTTCAGCATCCGCCCCATGCTGAAACTACCCCGCAGCTTGGAGTTCAGCATCTCGTTTGATGAGTCCGGCAGGATTACATGAACTTTGTCCGATAACCCTGGATGATGATGGAAGAACAGACGCTCACTGTTATACAACTCTGACTTTAATACAAAATAAGACATTATGGAGCTTTAACCTTGCATGGAGCAGTCAGTTTATGAGAGGCAGGGGACACCCTGTAATAACCTCAGGTCCATCACAGGGACATAGATATCAGTTTAGAGTTACTAATGAACCTAATATGCAGGTTTTTGGTCTGTGGAAGAAAAATGAAGAACCAAAGCTTAGTGCAGGATTCAAACCTGTGACCTTTTTTTTTGTAGGGTGACAGCTCTAACTATGGCCCCACTATGCCACCCATACTGAAATTTAGATTTTTTTTCTTGCATTTAGAATTTTTTTAAAAAGTTTTAATTAATGCATTAGTTTTTGTAATTTATCCAAATAATACTGACTGAAAAATCTTTGAACAAAGTGATATATTGAATTTTCTACTTGAAATATGTACTGATGGTTAGTTGGTTGTAAACACAAATAATTAAGATGTAAGCCYGTTTGGTGTCTTCAGTGTCTCAGGGTCTACAGTCGGGGGTCCTACCTGCGGTGCTGTGCGGCTCCGACACATAAACAGCCACAGAGGGAAGAGGCAGGTGCAGCAGGCGCCTGCAGTCTGCCTCAGACCTGGAGGATGTGTGGAGGCAGTGGTGCAGCTGATTCCATTGCACCAGCTGGAGACCCAGATGGACCCAGCGCTCCAGCCGCCCTTCGCTGCTCACCGGAGCCACAGAGTGCACGGCGTAGAGGATGGAAAGAAAAGGTGTAAAAAGCTTCAGGAGCTGCATGCTCACCCCTTCAGTCTGTTTTCACGGTAAACCTGGACAGTTTTTGGTTTATTTTTCGTCTTGCCTTTTTTCCAGATGTTTGTTATTCTTTGGTTTCTTTGGGATGTTGTCTCTTGGCTGGATGTTTTTGTCTTTCTCACCCGACTTGTTTCCTCTGATTTTTGGAGCAGGAGTTTTATTCTACAGCATCCAAGAGAGGTGAAAGTTCAAACAAACAATAATAAAAAAAACACTTTAGTGTGGTCAGTTTTCTTCTGTTCTTGTTTCTTTTWGTGACATCAGCCTCTTTCATTGGATTTACAGTTCAACTTCCTTTTTCCTTGGTTCACTTTTTCTTCTTCCTTCTTGTTTTCTGCTGGATTTTAGGAAAATCAAGACTTTTTGTTTTTCTCCTCAACTCACTTCTGCGTCTTTCTTCGTGTTGTCTTCTGGATTTTGGGAAGATTCAAATGATGTCCAGTTGTCTTCTAAGGCAGCAACTTTAATGTTTGTTTTGAAGAAGAACTTTAAATTCTTTGCTTCTCTGGAAGATGATAAATGATGGTTGAGTTTCTGACTGTAGACCGATCGTCCTGAAGGATGTCTGGAGCTCTGAGGGAACCAGCTGCTGCAGCTTTGAGTCAGTTTGCTGCTCTCTCTCTCTCTCTCTCTCTCTCTCTCTCTCTCTCTCTCTCTCTCTCTCTCTCTCTCTCTCTCTCT